GCCTAAATAAGTAAGTAAGTAAGTAAATATTCTTTTATGAATTAAAAAAAAAAACGTACAGGTCTGCCCAAAATTTACTCTTGTGGAGTAAGCAGCTACAAAAGAGATAACAACACCCACCCCACCCCAGGGTTGCCTGTGGAGACTAAGCTGCGCTGTTTGACCTTCCCTCTTCAGGGCCCAGCTCATCGTCTGGCTCATGGCTACAAAATAATAGTTTGAGAAAGATTTTATCCGTGCGATTTTCTCTAAACGTCCGTGGAATAGTTGCTTTGGGTAAAATGAGCTGAGTTCTGGAGAAGAATTTGCCTGAGAGGTGTTTTCTGCTTATGAAGACAGTGTCTCTTTGCGGAGACAAGTTGAAACCGGTTTTGAATATTTTACGGCAGCCATGGGGAAGTGACTGAGTGCCTCCAGTCCCACACTTGGGCGCTTTTGGCATTGCCTTTGTGTTCTGGTTGAGACGGTGGGAATGTCTTCCTGGAAGCTGTAGACTATTGGTGCAAGCCGCTTCCCATCATCTTTGTCAGCTCTCTTTCCCTAGTATCCTGAGATTTTAGAGCCCACATCCTTACCAGACATGTTAGTGCACACTGTCTGAGGACATCGATGATGGCCATGAATTGCCATTTAACTATTGGAGGTCCACGTTATATTCCAGCTGCTCCCAGACCCTGCTTAGGGGAGGGTAGAGCTTAGTTTTCTTTCTCTCAGCAGACCCTTCACAGTGCCATGAATAAACTGGCCAGCTGTCAGCTGATTGATGGGTCTAAAATGATGTTTGTCCTGCACTTTCAAAATGTCATTCCAGAGAGGTGCCCAGGACCCTTCTCCGGGGCCCCTTGTAAATGCTGCAGGCTCTCACTTGATTGGGGTAGAAGAGTGGGGTGTTTAGGGGCATCGGAATAGCCTCTGGCTCCAGATGCAGAGGAATCTGAACTTTGAAAATAGTGTGTTGAAGACATGACAGGATATTCTGCGAGAAGACGTTCTGTTCAGACAGAGGGGTGGCAACCAGACGCGTGGTGGAGGTTCATGAGAGAACGTTCTCCAGTTCAGAGACCAGGAGAGAGGGGCAGAACACAGGAGAGAGAGCAAAAGTTGAGGTTGAGGATGGGAAGCTTGGAACATTTTCCCAGTGGCCTGCTGTGGAAGCGAGCAGCTTTGTTACTTTTCCGTTGCTGCTGTGGAAATATGAAGATGCAGGGGCTCAGAGTCACACACACATTTTTTATATATACAGTTTGTATTATTTTATCTTTTTTGTTTGTTTTATGTACATTGGTACTCTGCCTGCTTGTGTGTCTGTGTGAGAATCCCTGGAACTGGAGTTCCAGACAGTTGTGAGCCATCATGTGGGTGCCGTGACTGGAACCCCGGTTCCTTTGGAAGGGCAGTCAATGCTCTTAAGCACTGAGCCATCTCTCCAGCTCCACAACATATATTTTTTTAAAAAGAAAAAACAAAAACTGTGCTTTACTTTGTGATAAATCGCCAAAGTAGGGCAATCTCTAGAGAACAAAACTTTATTCCCTCACAGTTGTAAGGTCTGAGAATACGAAGATGAAGGAGATGAAGGTGCTGGGGTTCTGTGGGAGAACCTTCTGTTCTCATGTCTCATATTGTCATGAATCTGCTCAAGAGGTCAAACCTCATGACCGACAACCTCCCCAAAGGCCGCATTTCCTAACACGGTTTCCCTGGGGATTTACATTTCTGATGTGTGAATTGGGGTGGGGTAGCACATACAGACGGAAGAACTTTTCGTATGATTATCCGGGCCAGAAGTCCAGTAGGGTTTAAAACCAGTATCTCCTTTTGGATACTTCCCTGACATCTGAGGTTTGGAAACTTCAACTCTGAGACCTGGACCTGGTTTTCCTCCACCCTTTCCACCTCAGTGAACCTGTTCTCTGGTGCACGCTCAGGCCAAACGCTGCAGTTATCCAGAAGTTATTTTTCTTATAAACTCCTTTACAATTCCAGTTGGTTCAACCTTAAGAATTACATTCAGAATCCGGTTGTTTCTCACACCCTTATGGCTGGAGCCCACAAAAGCTCTGTAACTGGCCGTGTGTTCTTTTCTTGATTCTGCCCTCAGCGTGCAGCCGGGGGATCTACTCGAGCGTAGGCCAGACCTCTCCCTTGTCTGCTCTCAAGTAGCTCTTGTCTCCTTCTGAGTAAAAGCCAAAGACAGCACGGTGGCCCGAGGGGAGCAGCCTGGCTAGCCTGTGCTCACCAATGGGGTACTTGGCCACCTCACAGCAAATTCCTGCCTGCTCTGGGAGGCAAAATCAAGGTCAAATGGAATACTGGGTCCCTCATCCCCATCCACGTAGTCCTTTCTTCTGCTCTCACGTGACAGGCACGAGTCTGTGTATGGGCCTTTCTCCCGTCAGACCTGGAACGTTGTGACAGAAACCGAATCTTCTAAGGGTTTGTGTTCTCCAACCCAAGCAGCCATTTCTGATCCTGCACTATTCTACCCAGTTAGAACAGGACATGCAATGGTGTCTGAAAACAGCTGTTGAGGTTTGAGAAGGGTACAGATGCAGTAGATAGAAGGGAAACTACAGAGTAGGGTGGGTCCTACTTTGTCTCGTAGGGGTCTTCCAACTTCCCCCTGCTCAGTGTGTTTCACCAAGGATTCCATAGCAGCCCTCTTAAGAACACCTGCTCTTTGTTGAATTTAGCCACAGCTGGGGAGGGGTAATTTGCATATCAAGTCTTTTCTTTAAAGAAAAAAAAAGTAAATGGTACACTCCCTTGTGCTTCTATTGGTACTGAGATGGTTCAGTACAGTTTCCCTGAATGGAACTAATATTTTCTTTCTTTTTTTTCTTTTATTTATTTATTTATTTGTTTATAAAAATTTCCACTTCCTCCCCTCCTCCCCATACCCTCCCATTCCCCCCACTCCCTCTCCTTCCCCCCCACTCCCTTTCCTTCTCCCTCTCCAGTCCTAAGAGTAGTCAGGGTTTCCTGCCCAGTGGGAAGTTCAAGTTCCT